TGATATATATATATATATAGAGAGAGAGAGAGAGAGAGAGAGAGAGAGAGAGAGAGGTATATATATACACTAAGCTACATCGTTATTGTGAAGCTACGTCGTTGTTGTTGTTATCTTACTTGAAGAGAACAAAACCACTCACGCGTTTTCAGCTCACACGGATAACAGACGTTATTCGTTAGATCGCAACACCGTTCTAACAGTGTCCGTTCTGCGCAGTCTAGTCTTCCATCATGCGCTATAACCACGTTCTATAACGTTTCATCGAACTTTCATCACAACGTCATCTGTTTCTCTCACCATCATCCGCACAAATGTAGCGGGTCATGATCTCACTCGTGACGGCAATTCGAGGTTTCATTGCAAGCTTTCATCAAGACGTTATTAACGTGACAATGTAACATGTTGAGTCATCTCGTGGCAACATGCCTCCAATATATATATATATATATATATGCTTCCTATATCATAATTTGTCATCCACGCCATCCTGCATGGCTTCTAAAGACGTCTGCTAGAAGCTGAACTGTCAGCGTCGGAAGTAAGGTGAGTCTGATAACGTGTGTCAACCGACTGCAAGCTTCGTGATGTAAGATGTCATTCTAGTGACGCAGCGCGTGACGTCACTGAATCTTCGAGGTCACGCATCGAAAACATGGATCATCTGTGAGATATTTTCACCGTTGATAGACGGTTGTAGATTGATGAGACCGTGCGGCACTTTTTCGAGGGTTGACGTCACAAGTTCTCCTCTTGTTTTCCTTTGAACCGAGGGGTATTTCCGACGGGAACCCGTCCTATATGTCGACGCGGTCGACAGTGCCGCTCTCTGCCCGGTGCTGCGGCGCCGCGTCGTCTGTAACCATGGCGACAGGCATCAGAAGCAGACGCTGACGGCGCCGCTGCCACTGCTGGCCCTCACTGAGCGCGTTGTGCGCGTGGTAGATAAATTTCTCCAGACACAACACCACCACCGCGGAGATGCCCCCGTACACAAGCACGGAGATTGCCCCGGAGAGGTCAACAGATGTCAGCTGCCGCGTCGTCACGGCGATGTTCTTGCGCGGTCGTCTGCACAGCTCCAGTCGGTCAGGCAGCGCCTCGTGCAGCCACTTATCTCTGAGGCCGCTCTCTATCGCTGCGCGTATACCGTTGTTGAGCGAGCGCACGTACGGGCTCCCGCGCGGGACCATCCACGCCATCCTAGTCGGCAGCATCTCGACCGACGACAGCATCAGCGCGCACGTGACCTCCCCGTCGTCTTCGTGGGAGAACACGGCCTCGGCTTCCTCTATGATCAGCAGCTTCAGTTCGAGCGCGTTTCCTATCAGCGTGTGGTTACCGAGCAGCGTGAGCCGGAGCCCCTCGGGGAGCGATTTCGCGACGGAGCGCGGCGCCGCGGCGGCTACACGCTCCAACAGCCGATGCAGCGACGAGTTCGCCGGACTCGTCGCCAGTTGTTCGACGACCGACTGACCAGCGACGACGACGGGGGTCATCGCGGGGTGACGCAAGAGCGCGGGGATGGAGGTGAAGGGTTCGCGCACGCGGACGACCGTCAGCAGGGAGACGAGTGACGCACTGTAGATCGTCGACGCGCAGATTGCGAACAGCCACCACGCTGCTAGCACGGTGCGCACGGGCGCCGCCGCCGGCAGCCAGGGCCCGCCCTGCCGTACCAGCGCGCCGAACACGTACCGCACGTAGTACTTCAACAGGTCGGTGATGGCGCGTGCGTCCACCCGCCGCCGCGCGTCGCCCCACGTCATACACGGCAGACACAGACGCCCGTTCATCGCCATTGCAACGGCCGTCATCACGGCGACCGCGAGGAGAAGCGACCAGGTGAGAGCGTCGAAGGGACCGAGGAGGGAGAAGCCGGGGGCGGGAGGGGAGGCGCGCACGAGGAAGGTCTTATGTGAGTAGATGAAAGGCTCGAGGAAGGTGACGTAGCGGCTGCGGTTGGGTGTCACGGCGAGGAAGTTGACGAGAAGTTGGACGCGGTTGGCATGCACGAGAGCGATGGGGTCGGTGTGTGCGGAGATGCGCGAGATCGCGTACGTGAAGTTGAGATACTGAGAGAGCGCGTCGAGCGTTAGTGTGCATAGTTGCAGCCAGACGGCGTCCGTGCGCGGGCTGTGCGGGTTCTCCCAGTAGGCGGCGCTGATGTGCGCGCCGTTAAGCTGGTAGGTGGCGCCGGTGTCGCGCTGTCGTCGCTCGTGCTCGCTGAGGGAGAGGAAGGAGGAGGAGGGCGAGGAGGAGACGGAGGCAGAAGTGTCGTGGCGGACGCGAGGCCGCTCGCAGCTACCACTGCTGCTGCTGGTGGTGATGGTGTTGCTGTTGTTGCTGCTTCTGCTGCCGCTGATCCTGATGCTGCTGCTACTGCTATTGCTGCTGCTGCTGTTGTTGCTGCGGCTGTTGCTGCTGCTGCCGGCGGCAGCCGCCAGTAAATAGCTGACCATGAAGACTTGGAGATGTATCATGGCTTGAATTGACGAAATTCTTGCTGCACAGGTGACCATAGAACGAATCCAAAATACACTCCCTGTTATATATATCAGCGCTTCATTCCTATGAGTCGCTCTCTTGCTAATCAACTATCGTAGTTGGCTGCTATGAAGAGTTTGGCAGGGCTGCGACGGTTACTCCAATACCTTACTGCAGAACTGACGGGAAGTTATCCACGGTCCATTCCAACCGTAAAGTTGCTGGTGTTGTTATTATTGTTAGTAGTCGTCCTGTGTCACTGACGGTCACGCGCCCTTTAACGTGATACGCCGGCGCTGAAACATTACCGCACTATCTCCATTCTCATTCGTTTCCTCATTCTACGCTATTGCTGCTGCTGCTGCTGCTGCTGCCGCCGCCGCTGCTGCTGCTTCTGCCGCTACCTCTGCTGCTGCAGTTGCTGCTGCTGCTGCTGCTGCCGCTGTAGTTGCTGCTGCTGCTGCTGCTGCTGCTGCTGCTGCTTCCACTGCTGCTGCTGCTGCTGCAGTTGTTGCTGCTGTTGTTTCTACTGATACTGCTGCTACTGCTGCTACTGCTGCTTCTGCTTCTGCTTCTGCTAACGCGGTTTCAGTGAACACATTATGCGTGCCGGCGCTCGGGTTGCCGTCTGACGGTTACCGGCGTCTGCCGTAACAATTGCGGCAGCAGCAGCTGCAAACTTCTGAAAAACTCCTAACAGCCTTCATGATACGATACGTATCACGATGCAGCCTTCATGATACGATATGTATCACGATGCAGCCTTCATGATACGATACGTATCACGATAAAACCTTCACGATACGATACGTATCACGATACTTTCAAGAGGAACTTATCTCTGAAGGAAATGAGAGTAAATGTACAGATCAAACTGTACACCCAACTGAAACTCTACCGATCACGTAAACCCTTACAAATTATCTCCACCCAATTTGATCATTGCAATAACTAAAATATCATCAAGGAAAAACGGTTCAGATTCTAGAGTACACATCAAGATTTACAATGGAAATAACATTGGTGGCAAGTTTAAGTCAGTTCCTGATTCAAAAAGTTAAAACGCATTTTTCAAATAACATCTACGACAACTTTAACAATCCTTATTCCGATATAATCACTGTGCCAGAGATTACAATAATACATATTATTATATTCTATATATGAAAGCTGAAAGGTGTTGAGTAAAGTGTTAGTGGATGTTACTCGATCAAACCTACATAGACTAGTAATTTTAACTAGCAAGTAAAAGTTAGTAGTAGTAGTAGTTAGTTGTAAGTAGTAGTAGTAGTAGTAGTTAGTTGTAGGTAGTAGTAGTAGTAGTAAGTAGTAGTTAGTAGTAGTAGTAGTAGTTAGTAGTAGTAGT